AAAAACCAAATCATTGATCCAAAGTTCACACTTTAGTCAACACCAAAGAATTTATCATGGAAAGAAACACCATGATTATAAGTGTAGCAAAACCATTACTTGGAGTTTAGCCCTTATTTGACATCAACAACTTCACAAAATAAAGGAAGTAATCTTTGAAATGCAGCAAATGAAGTGAGAGCTTAAATACCTCACAGTTATGGTAGGATGAGATCCCAAAAATACTGAATTCACAACCCACCCTACCCACTCTGTACTCTCCTTTACCTTTTTCACTTGTAGTTCTATTGTCTGTTTCCATCTTTGCCCAAATCATCACATCTGCTTCTTCATTTTACCCTTTTGTCTCACCTCCCTTTGATAAACTTCTTTTCTTATATTCTTCCTTGAGAAATCACTACCTCTCATAATGTTACCAGCCACTGAGCTTTGCTTCTTTGATTTTTTTTTCCTTAAGATTCTCCAAACTTTTGAGTTTAGGGGAGAAAGACCCTTCTTACAGGACTACTGCTGCCTCCAGGACATGGTAATATATGTGTGATCTTTTTTTTTTTTTGACTGCTATTCCTTTACCTCATCCACTTCCAGATCAAACTGGCTTACAGAAATCTCCCTCAAAATGATTAGCACAATTGATTTTCCCTAATGCACACCTGAATCAATTCTATTCAACAGGTGTTCATTATCTACTATGTGATAGGTATCTTCTTCTTTGGTAGAATTGTGTCCTTGAGAGCTCTTTGTAAAATGTAAAGCACATGTAGATATATTGTTATTTGAAATTGCAGTCTAGTCTTCAAGGCTTAATACACACATTCAGTAGGACATTTTGCTGAAGTGTGCAAGGTACTAGGCTGAGGGCTGGAGATACAAGACAAAAAAAAAATGAAGCAGTCCCGGTCCTCAAGTAGCTAACACTGGATATACACAGATAAGAAAATACAAGTTAAATTAAGGACAGAACACACAAAAAAAGGGAAGCTGAGAAGGCTTTGTGGAAAAGGTATGGAGCTGAGGAATGAATTGAAGAAGGGAGATTGGAAGTCATTTGACCAATTAGGAAGTTGTTTTCTGAGTAACTCTTGAAGGGAGATAAAGATTCTGAAAGGCAGGAATGAAAAAGTATATTCTAAGTAGAAGAAATGGCTTGTACAGATGAATGGAATTATGAGTTCATGAAGTGTGAAGTAATAAGAGCCAATTCTGGAAAGGTAAGTTGGAGCCAGATCGTGGATATGTTTAAATGCCAAGCTGAGGAGTTTGTATTTTATCCTAGAGGCAGTAGGGAACCATTTAGGGTTTTCAAAGTGGGATAAGAAGTGAGGGATGGGGAGTGATCAAATCTGTGTATCTGGAAAAGCTGACAGCTGTATGGGGTATTGATTGGAGAGAGGAAGAGATTAAAAGCAGGGAAACTAATCAGGAGGCTATTACAGTAGTTCTGCTGAGAGTTGATAAAAGCCTGAGTTAAGATGGAAGGCAAAGAGAGAAAGGGGACAAAATTGACAGATGTTATGGTGATAGACTCAACAGGATTTGCCAGTTGATATTAGATTTTGGAGGAGGGGAAGAGTATGGTGAGAGAGTAGAATCAATGATAACTCCAAGGTTATGGACTTGGGAGCTATGGTGACTCAGAAATAGGGTTGTTTAGAGAAGTGGGTTTAGGATGGAAGATAATGAATTCCACATGAGGCAGAAAACAACGTATGGTGGTGATATCCAGAACTAGTGTGGAAGCACATTTTAAAACCTCCTTCTTAATAAAATTGAAAATATTAAGAAATAATATTTTCCTTTAAAGCCCTTTCCAGACTCCTGGAAAGGTGAGTTATAAGTTGAAACAAACAAATGAAAAGCCTTTGATGGAAATGGATTCAGTGGTTCCCAGACTTTTAACTGGAAAACTTCATGGGAAAAGTGGGATTTGAGCTAGGTTTTGAAGAATGGGGAGGTTTAAATCAAACTCAAGACGATTTTGTATACATCCATCCTATTATTCACCTAATGTGACTAGCAGGAAACCTATGCCTTGACATCCAAGGGGTGATGCCTCTCCTGGGGAACCATTTAAATGTGGCTCCATAAAAGAAATCTCTCTGACCCTTTGGTCTTAAAAAGTTTGCTCTTACTTAAAGCTTGCTCTTGCAGGCCTTCTTTCCAGTTGGTTCTATGGGGTGCCTTCTAATACCCAGAGAAAGACCAATTATCATTACCCAATTTTTATATCAGAGATTATAGATTTAGAGGTGGAAGGAGCCATGAAGGTCATTTAGTCCAATCTCCTCATCTCTTAGATGTGGAAAGTGATGCTCAGAAAGATTACACATGTAAAAAGTAACAGAACCATCATTTGAACCCAAATTCTCTGATCAAATACAGCATTTTTTCCCCGCTGTACCACCCTGAGAGATGGGGTTTTGAGAATGACAGGTTGATAGTGTTCAAGCGGCAGGAGGAAGTATTTGGGGTGGGGAGGTAGCAAAGGTTTTCAGGGGAATGACCAAAGCATCCCAGGTAGATGGGAAGGTTTAGATAACTTCCAAATCCCATCAACCACAAATTTGAGTGGTGGGAGGGTTTTTTTTTTCTTTAAGGCAACTACGGTTAAGTGACTTGCCTGGGGTCATCACAGCTAGTAAGTGTCAAGTGTTTGGTCTGAGGCCACATTTGAACTCAGGTCCTCCTGACTTCAGGGCTGGTGCTCTACCCACTGAGCCACCTAGCTGCCCCATGGGAGTTTTACTGTGGAGGAGGTAAGCCCTGACCAGATACCTAACCAAGTTTGCCAGGGCAGAGTCAATCTTTGGCATGTCCCTGGGACCCCAGACTGGGCTAGAAAGAAATTCGACTCAGGCCCCAAACATGTGTATCTGCTCTAAAGGAGAGACTCAGAACTACGACTTCCAAAGCCTCAGCTATTGGGGAAAGGAGCATTTCAAATTTGACAAGTGAAAGGAACAACAGGATTCTGGGAGATGAAGTCTGAACACAGGCATTCTGGTGAATGAAGTCCACCCAGGTGCACATCCAAGGCTGCTTGCAAGAGTGAGCCTGGTAACTGCATGGAATGTCTTGATAAACTTGGAATATATTCCTTCCTCTCCTCCTTCTGCCTCTTAGAATGCCTGGTTTCTTCAAAGAAAGCTCAGCTCCAAGCCACCTCCCACATGGAGTCTTTCTTGATTCCTTCTATCCCACTCCCCCAGCAGCTATACAGTCCCTCCTTGTATTTTCTGTCAATATATTTTGTATATACACGTGCAAATTACACATGCATATTGTACCTAATGCACACATATATGTTATATATATATGTGTGTATTATGCATGTACATATGAATAAATGTATGCATGCATTTGTATACTGTGGTCATGTATATATGTACTGCAAATATTATACAAATAATCATATATATGTATGCATTATAAATTATGTGCATATGCATGTGTGCAAATACGTATATACAAGCACATAGTATATATTTATATATTATGTGTGTGCATGCATGCACATGTGTATGTTGTATGTGTGCACATGTGTATGTCATGTGTATGCACATGTGTGTATAAACAGACTGTACCCATGCATGTATATTATGTGTATATGCATGTATTGTATGAATATATGTATCCATCTATGTATGTGTATATAACAATCTCAGATATGCAGATGATAATGCTGATAACAGAAAAGTGAAGAGGAATTAAAAAGCCTTTTCATGAAGGTGAAAGAGATAATTAAAAGCTGACTTGAAGCTTAATTATAAAAAAAAATTAAAAAAGAAAACTAAGATCTTGGCAACAGGTCCTATCACTTCTTGGCAAACAGAAGGAGAAGAAATGGAAGCAGTGTCAGATTTTATATTCTTGGGCTCAAAGATCATGACAGACAGTAACTGCAGCCAGGAAATCAGAAGGAAAGCTAGAGCAAATCTGGACACATACTAAAAAGCAGATACATCACCTTGCTGACAAAGATTCATACAGTCAAAGCTATGTGTTTTTTTCAGTAGCAACGTATGGCTGTGAGAATTAGATTATGAGGAAAGCTGAGCACTGCAGAATCAACACTTTTCACTTGTGGTACTAGAGAAGAGTTTTGGGAGTCCCTTGGACAGCAAGGACATCAAATCAGTCAACACTTAAAGAAATTAATTCAGGCTGTTTGGAAGGTCAAATACTGAAGCTGAAGCTTAAATATTTTGGCCACATAATAAGAAGACAGGACTCAATTGGAAAAAAGACCCTGGTATTGGGAAAAGAGTGAAGGCAAAAAGCAGAAGGGATGACAGAGGATGAGATGGTTAGATAGTGTCATGGAAACAACAAACATAAACTTATATCAACTTCAAGAAGTAGTGGAGGATAGAACGGCCTGGCAGTGCTAGGGTCCATGGGGTTGTGCAGAGTCAGCCACAACTGAACATCTTGTGTATATGTATATATACATGCATATGTTATACATGTGTGTATTGTGTGTATGCATACATGTATATGTGTGTGTATATGTTTATGTGTGTATACCTGCACTCATCTGGGTTGTGCAGTGGATAGAGCACTGGGCCTGGAGTCTTCCCGAGTTCAAATGTGGCCTCAGACAGTTAATTAGTTGTGTGACCCTAGGGAACTAACTTAACCCTGTTTGCCTCAGTTTCCTCATCTGTAAAATGAGCTGGAGAAGGAAGTTGAAAACTGCTCCAGTATCTTTGCCAAGAAAATCCCAAATAGGGCCAGGAAGAGTCAGACACCACTGAAAACAACAAAATGTGCATATACATGTACGTGTGTATATGTATAGATGTGTATATATGTAGCTATGCATATATGGATATATACATATCTATCGACAGATATACTGATGGATTGACTTGTATTGATCCGGGAGACGGAGCCGCTGGCCGTGGGGACTCCTGGAAAGGCAGGCGGGGGAGGGGGGCGAGGGGGTTCTGCGCATGACCGGAAGTGCCCCCAGCGGGGTCTCGGGCTCGCTCCGCCGCGGCTCTGACTCTCGCCCGCTGGCCCCGCGCTTGTGGGGGGCGTGGGGGGAGCAGCGGCGCCCCCCGGCTGGGCGGGGCGTCCCGAGGGCCCCTCAGACCCCCGGCGCCAGGTCGGCCCGCCCTCCCCGCAGCCGCGGGTCTGCAGGGCAGAAGCCCGTGGGGGCCCGCTCTCCGGAGCAGCCCCACGGAGACCCCAGAGCCTGCATCCCCACGGCCTGGAGGGGCACAAGCCAAGCGCGCTGCGTTTGCAAACCCAGCTGACTTGGATTCGAAGTCCTGCCCCTTCCCCCTTCTAGCCGGCTGACCTTGGGCTGGTCCCTGGCCTCGTGCTGACCCTCGGGTGATCCATCCCCAAGATGAGGGATGACCCGATCCCCGAGGACCCTTCGGCCGTCCTTATCCGTTGATCTCAGGTTGCTGACCGGAGCCCTCCCCTCGGTTCTTCGAGACCGAGGCGGGAGAATCACGGAAAAGAGCGTTTTCTGCCTTAGCTGCTGACCCTCCTGCTTCGAGAAGTCGGGGGGGAGGGGAAGCCGTCCAGGAGGCAGCGACCTAGCGCATCCCACCCCAATGCTGGAAGAAGAAGGTGAGAGTTACTGCTGGCTGGGGTGGGAGGGGTCAGTGCCCGGGAGGATGGGGTAATGCCCCGCGTGGCGTGTGGGAAAACAGACCCACCCGCCCTCACCCTCCTCCGGTGAGGAGAAGAAATGACTTCCTTTTCTGCGATCTTTCTTGCCCTGGGGTGTGGTAGACTCTGGGAATGAGTATCTGGGGCATAACTTGGGCTTCCGGGTATTACATTCTTCCCCCTTGGCTTTGCTGTGTGCAGTGATGCAGCAAAGTTGCGCAGAGACCATTCTTCCTTGACTTTCGATGATTTGCTGATAACACTGGGTAGTTGTTACAGTCTGATCCTTAGACTGTGTTTAGGGAACAAAGTTGTAAAATTCTCAGTTCCCCTGTCAGCTTTGTTCCCCTGGAGTCATATGATTTCCCTGTGATCTTAACAACAGATTGAGGCATTTGCTAGCTGGCAAAATCTGTGGCCTTTTTATCCAGCCCTGAGAGACCAGGGTTACTTCTGTTTCATTTGAATTCTCTCTTTGCAGTAAAAACATGAGAATTTCCAATCTGGTGAGACGGAGAGCTGCCTCACTGGCCTTCTTCATGATTCCTTTCTCTTCTAGCTCTGTATTCTCAGGAGTCGGTCCATTCTGAAGAAAGGAGACTAGGAGATGAGGGTATGGCTGGCGTGCTCTTGTCAGCCAGGTCTCAGGTATGTTGGAATACGTTTTCTCATTTTGGACAGATTTCCTTCTCTGATCCTAGAGATTCTTTGCCTAGCTAAGTTTCACTTAGTTACCTGAGCTTGAAGCCCTCTCTTCCGTCTAGGAGATCGAGCCAATCCTGATAGGCAGTGAATTCCATAGGGAATATTCCCATTTGCCCAGCATTCCTTTTACATGCACATAACATTCTTATTCTTCACATAATTTTTCAGACTGAATTTATTCAGACTATGTTTAGGTGACTTCTGTGAAAAATGTCAGATTTATAACATAATTTTTACCTCAAGCTTAAATAGAGGAATCAAGACATACATGAATGAAGCATTTAATAGGTGTGATGGCATGGTATAATGGAAAGAGTACTAGATTTGGAGTCAAAAGATGTGGAACTGAATCTTAGTTTTGTTTCTAAGTTAACACCTGAAACTCCACTCTCCTCATCCCTAAAATTAGGTGGTTAGACTCCCATCTCTGATGCCCCTCCCATTGCTGTAGATCATACGAGCCTAAATATTTAGATGATTGTGGAAGAGGCCTAGACCTGGTAGTGAGGAGATGTGGATTTGAGTCTTGGCTTTACTATATCCTTACCGTGTGATCTCAGGCAAGTGATTTCACCTCTTAGAGCCTCTGGTTACTCATCTGCAAAAATGAAGGGATTGGATTAGGTGACCTCTAAGGTCCGACTCAGATCTTCTTAACTTACCATGATTTATAATTCCAGTTAATATCGTTGGGAGGCTTCGTAGAAGAGATGGAGTTTCAGCCATGCCTTGATAAATGGGTACTTTTTTTTTTTTAGTAAGGAGGGTGGAAAGTGGTTAGGAATAGCCTGAGCAAAAGACCAGAGGCAAAAGAAGGCATGTAGTTTCTGCAAAACAGAGTATACTTGACTGGAGCTGATGTTTCCTTTTGGGGAATGGATGGGAAATAAGGTTGGGTATTTGGAGCACTGTAGAGTCTTCTGGAAGAGGTCTGCAACCCCTCAAAAGAATTGTCCTGACCATCCACATAAGAAAGACCAAGTGGAAAAAGATTATGACAGAAAAGATCATCCAGATTATGACATGCAGTTACTTTTCATGACAAAAACCTAAATAATCCACAAGTATAATTAAGTCAAAATGAACTAGAAATATTAATGCATGAAGGTAAATTTGCCCTCATAGATAATCACTGAGACTTGGTGGAATGAGACCCCTAAATAGGATATGGTTCTGAAAGGTTTATACCATAAGTGAAAGCCAGGTAGCTGGCACAGTGAATAGAGAACTGGAACTCGAGTCAGGAAGACCCAAGTTCAAATCCATCCTCAAATACTTACTAGCCACATGACCCTAGGCAAGTCACTTAACCCCTCTCTGCCTCAGTTTTCTCCTCTGTAAAGTGGGGATAATCATAGCATCTGCCTTTCAGAGTTGTTTTGAGGATAAATATATAGTCAATAAGCATTTATTAAGTGCCTCCTATGTACCTGGCACTATATTAAGTGCAAAAAAAAGAATCCTGGCCTCCAGGAGCTTACAGTCTAATGGTGGAAGACGACCCACAAAAGGCTGAAAAGTAGAGGGGGGAAGAGGAGGAAGGGACCTCCCAACATGGGCATGGTGAAGTCAGAAGAGCCCCAGAGTAGCACAGCTGGGTAAGAAATGAGGAGATATCCAAGTTAAACTTGTGGCCCCACCCTCCAATCAGTGGGACTGAGGTTGGTGATGAGGTTTACCCAGGTTAATGGATCTTACAGGTTGATGAGATTGTTCAATAATGAGCTTCCTGGGGCATGGTGGAGTCAGAAGTCCGAGAAATGAGAACATGTGTAAGATCCGCTTTGCAGATCTTAAAACGCTGTAAGTACTAGCTCTTATTATTATTAACAAACTGTGTTGCCACAAACGGGATACAATACTCCAGGTGTTTGATCAGATAAAACCGTTTACCATTTCCTACTTCATTTTGGATGTGTTGCCTCTGTTGTCGCCTAAGATAAGATAGAAAGGAATCATGGTATACAAACAATTCTTGAATTAGGCAAATTTGAATTTTTGAAATAATGTTATTGTTGTTTAGTTTTCAGTGGTGCTCAACTCTTTGTGACACCTTTTGGGATTTTCTTGACAAAGGTACTGGAGTGATTTGCCATTTCCTTCTCCAGCTCATTTTACAGATGAGAAAACTGAGGCAAACAGGGTTAAGTGACTTGCCCAGGGTCACACATCTAGTAAGTGTCATGAAGATGAGTCTTCCTGATTCCAAGTTTAATGCATTATCCACTGTACCACGTAACTGAGTTTTGAAAGAAATTTGCATTCCCAAAAAAACCCTATGTTAATTTTACTAGACAGTACTATGCTCTCTGCTCCTGCCTCTTGGCTTAGTGCTTGTGGCCTCCCACCCTCCACCTCCACCAAAAAACCCCTCAAAAACCCAAAAGAAAAGACATACCCACTCACCCAAATGTTCTTCCTCTGCTTTCTTCTCCTGTGCTCCGACATGTCTCTGAACCACGTGCTGGCCTCTCCCACCACAAGCTCGAGACCCTCTTTCTGCTTCTCTTCACAACATCTACAGGCAAATTCACATTACATAAAAATCTTTTTATGTAGAGCTCTGTGGAATGGTCCATTTAAGTAAAGCTGTAGTCAGTAGTCTGTAGTTGATACAGCCTAAAGAGAGGAAAACCAAGATTCAAGCCCTGCTTCAGGTACATACTGTTTATGTGATCATAGGCAAGTCATTTAACTTCCCATTGTCCAGACAGTGCTCTAAAACTGTAACTTAAAAATTAGTTTCTGCTATTTTGTATTTGCTGTCTTCTGTGCCTGCAATGCAATCCTACTCACCTCAGCCTCTTAGAATCTGTTTCCTTTAAACTCTGCTCAGATAGCATCTTCTGCATGCCTACATGAAGCTGTTCCTGATATCCTCTGTGTCCCCCTCTTTTCATCCCAAATTACCTTGTGTTTATTTTAAATATTTTATGTATACTTTTGCATATGTTATTTTCTCTGAAAGAATATAAGCTCCTTGAGGGTAGAGACTGTTTCATTTTTGTTTTTGTAGCTCTAGTACCTAGCACAATGTCTGGCACATAATAGATGTTTAATAAGTGCTTGTTGATTGATTGATTGATTGATTGGTAGAGGAAGCTTCTATATTGGATGTTTCCTACACTGATGAAATCACAGGTATGGACTTGTCCCCCCACCCCCCCTCCCAAAAAAGTCTTCTATCTTCAATCAGAAGTAGAGATAGAAGTACTACCTGTGCTTCCAATGTATTTAGTTTTTTGCTCAGGATTACATAATCCTGAGCCACACTTTCTTAGTTCCTTTTGAGGGTGTAATTTGTTCTTATGTTAATCACCAGAAATGTGTACTGCCCATCAAGTTGGAAATTTCTTGGGAGGCACATCCTAGATACATAACCTGGGAAGACAGCAGACCTTTGTATTACTTATATCAGCTTGACAAATAACCTACTTGATACCTTTCAACCATCACAAATTCTTCTCATCTTCCTCTGACCAGTACTGAATGACTTCTTATCTGATGTACCTATGGATCATTATCATTTCTTGGAACACATGAAGCTTTTTCTTCTAGCAGTGGTCCAGCTCTCCTTTCTGTAGGTAGAGCCCCATACCTCTCATGTAATCCCAGATGTTCATTGGTTCTTCTTTCCTTCTTTCTCTCTATTGCATTCTTTCACTCTCTAGCCTCCTAACAGTTCACCTCCTTTCCCTCTGTATATCCCTTTCCTTCTGTTTCTTTGAAGTACTCATTCTTTCAAGAACAAGTTCGTTTTCCTTGATTACTTCATTTCCAAAATAATAGAAATGCATTCCTCTGGCCCCTTGTGTTTCCTTATGTTGCCACATTGTGTTCCTTATTTCCTACATTTACCTCTCTGTCCTACATTGCTTTCAGATCTTTGTCCAGTTATTTTCTGATCTTATTTTTATTTTACTTTGAATACCTTTTCTTCCATTTTTTTGTTCCACTTCATCAGTTCTGTTCATTGCTACTTTCTTTTACTTGGATTCCCTGATGAGAAGGAGAAAAGAGGTATTGGGGAATTAGCTGAGCAGACACTGAAGGGAAGAGATCACCCACCAGTCATAGAGAGACTGAGCCTAGAGAGTGCTGAGAAGCACTGAAGGACCCAGTTCGTGTTAGACACCATAAGTTTAAACTCAGTGAAATCAGTTTGGTTTCAAGACAGTGCCAACTTTACAATCTAGCATAGGTTTACTAAGAATGACAATTGATGCCAAAGCTACCTCTCATTTACTCTTAATATGTATTAAAGTATGGGCCTGTTACTTCATTAGCATAGGGCAGAGGAGTCTGTGGATAGATTTCAAGGGCTGTATGAGTGATAAGTCTTTATTGGGGAAGAGAAAAAATGGGAAAAAAATCTTTATTTTCACAAACTTCTAACTGAAATTTAGTATTTTCTTCAGTTATGAACGTAGGTAACAATATGTAGTAGAGGTCTTCAGATTTTACCATACTCCCCAAGGCTTCTATGGCACACAGAAGATTAGGCACCCCTGGTAAATTGTTGGTAAAGTTGTCTGCTTTTCCATCAACCATCAGGGTGTGTTTGTGTACCTCAGACTCATCTAAAGATGAGCTTTTCATCCTTTTCCCTCAAAAATTTGCTTCTCTCTTGACTTTTTGATTTCTTTCAGTGGCACCACCATCCTCCTGGGTCCATATCTTGGGATTGTCTTTGACTCCTGCTACTTCTTCACTTCATCTCAGTGATGGAGACATCTTGGTCTTCCCTCTCCCTCCTCTCCTTATAGCACTACGACCCTCATATAGGTCCACACTGATGTCTTCCTGAATATTACTTCTCATCCTTGTTCTTATTCCTATTCATTCTTTCCCCCAACCATACTTCACACTGGTGTCACCCATGTGTCATTTTGGCTGTATTTCTTCTCTGTCCAAAGCCTTGTAGAACATTGTCAAGTCTCTCCTGAATGAGGTTAAGACTCCTGCTTGGCACAAGGTTATTCTCGTCTCCAAGGGAGTGTCTCAAATGATTCCCTTCCACGGGCCCTGTGCTCAGCCAGACTATACTTCATTTTGTGTCCTTTGCCTTTTTTGCCCCTGTGCCTTTGCTTACACTGTTCCTTCTGCCTGAAGCTATTAAACTACCTATACTTTGGAGCCCGATTTGCACGTTAGAACCTTTCATTAAAACTTGTGTCATCTCCCATTTTTCCCCTGGCAATGACCTTTCCCTCTAGCCTCACACTTTTCTTATGTGCTATAGTTATTTGTGTGTGTTTTATAACCTCCTACTCAATAGTAAGTTCCCTTTGAACCTCTTCTACCACCTAGCACAGTGTCCTGCACACAATGGTCCTTAAACAGATGTTTGTTGAATTGAGGGTAGAGACAGTGCTTTAATTATCTCTTTCAGTGCCTAGCCCAGTGCTTTGTACATATTTCCTAAAATATGAATCATACGATTTTAGACCCAGAAGGAACCTCAGAAGTCATCCAGTTCAACCTATGACTGAATAAATTCCTCTGTATAATCCCTTCAAATATCAGTCTCTGCTTGAAGACCTCTGATGATAGGGAACGAACTACTTTTTAAAGTCCTTCTTCAACCTTTGGGTAGCTCTAATTGTTAGGAAGTCTTTTCTATATTAAGCTGAAATCTGCATCTCTAAACATCAATACGTTGTGCCTCCTTATAGAAGTCATAGATTGTAAAAGCTAGTAGGGTCTTTAGAATTCACTTAGTCATAGATGCCAACTGCTCAGTGATTTCATTTTACAGGTGAGAAAGCTGAGATCCAGGGTGGTTACATGGCTTGCTGAGATCCATACGGATCTCATGTATTCACTGCCCTTATTTCACAGATGAGGAATCTGAAGACAAGAGAGCTTAAGTGATTGGCTAAAGGTGGCATCGCTGCTGGCAGAGGAAATGTAAGAGCCGGGACTTGGACCCAGTTTGCATAAGTCCTAGTGCAGTGCTCCCAACCAGTTCTGTCTTCAGGACTAAATGAGTTAACAAATGTAATGTGCTTTGTGAAACTTAAAGTGCTATATAAATGCTAGCTACTCTTATTATTTTCTTCTTAGCAAAATTGTTAGCTCAAGAAGAGAGAAAACTGTTTCATAGTGTTTTTTTTTTTATCACAGAGAGAGCCTAGCTGTCATAGATATAGTGCTCAATAAATGCTTGACTTGGAACACCCAAGATATCAACATCATCAGGAACTATTTCCATAGCCTATGGTTTACCTCACTTAATTCTATCCACTTTAGCCCTTTTTCTAGGGCCATGTAGGAGTAGGGGCCTTGAGTGAATAGAAACATTTGGTATTTCAGGAATCTGTGGCATTTAAAGATGTAGTCATGGACTTCACCCAGGAGGACCTTCCTCAGAAAGACCCATACGAGGACCTGATGTTGGAGAAGTACAGCAACCTGGTTTTGCTGGGTAAGAACAGCTGCCTCTTAGTACATGTTTGGCTCTCCAGTTCTTAAAACCTGAAGTGTCGTCTGAAGTGTGTAATTAATTTTTGGCTTAGGGTTTATGGGTCATAAATACCTAAACTTCCTGGGGCCTGGGGACAAATTGTTTCTATTCCCTGTTCCCAGGGAAGCATCGTTGTGATGAACTTGAGACCTGTACTTTTCTATATCCATTGTCTTTCTATTCTCCCCCTCCCCGCCTGCGCGTGCGCACACACACCCCTTTCCCTTCTAGGCTTAATTCCCTAAGATCCCAGGTGGGTAAATTAGGTAATTTTCTTTATAAACTAAGAATGGTGTCCTGACTTGTCTCTTTTTCAAAGTGTATTTCTAAGATTCTTCATATTACATCCTTTTTCAAATATTCAAGTCCCATCTCTTCCCCATGAGCAGGGCTTCCAGTTTCCAAACCTGATGTGAACTCTGAGTTGGAGCAAGGAGAAGACTCATGGATACCCAGGAAAGAAGACCCAGGAAGCACCTGTTCAGGTGAGTAAGAGAATAAGGGAATCGCTGAAAATGAACAGAGCATATGTTTTGCATGATTTCACATGTATAATTGCTATATTGTTTGTCTTCTCATTAGGTAGGGGAAAGGTGGGAGGGAGGGAAAGAATCTGGAACTCAAAATTTAAGAAAAAGAATGTTTAAAATAAACAATTAAAAAGTCTCTCTTCCCCTTGACCTTTTCACTGAAGTTGATGTCTGCCTCTGTCTTAAACTTGTACTTTCCCTGGTTTGTTTGACATGCTGCACTGGTTCTTTTCATAGCTCTGTGACCACTCCTTTCTGTTTCCTATACTTCTTAATCCTTTTGTTTTTTGGAGTCATTCAAGGGTGATTTTGCTTCTCTTCTTTTTCTCTTTCTAAATTCACTCCTTCAGAGAGCTTGTTCATTCTTTTTTGTTTGTTTTTTGCTTTTTGGCTAGGCAGTGGGGTTAAGTGACCTGCCCAGGGTCACACAGCTAGTAAGTGTTATGTGTCTGAGGCCAGATTTGAACTCAGGTCTTCCTGACACCAAGGCTGGAGCTCTATCCACTATGCCACCTAGCTGTCCCTGTACTTTTTAAGGTTTTTTTTTCTTTCTTTTTTTGGGAAGGCAATGGGATTAAGTGACTTGCCCAGGGTCACACAGCTAATGAGTGTCAAGTGTCTGAGGCTCGATTTGAACTCAGGTCCTCCTGACCCCAGGGCTGGTGCTGTAACCACTGCACCATCTAGCTGCCCTATATAGGTTCTTTTTTTTTTTTGACCTTTTTAAGGTATGCTTTTTTTTGTTGTTTTTTTTTTGTTTGTTTTTAGGCAGTTGGGATTAAGTGACCTGCCCAGGGTCACACAGCTAGTAAGGGTCAAGTGTTTGGTCTGAGGCTGGATTTGAACTCAGATCCTCCTGACTTCAGGGCCAGTGTTCTATCCACTGTGCCACCTAGCTGCCCCTGAGCTTGTTCATTCTTAATTCAAGTCACTTCCACTTAAGTGTCTAATGTGTGCAAAGTACAGTGTTAGGTGCTGAGAATACAATGAAAAACAAAAGAGCCCCTGCCTTCAAAGAGCTTACTTCCCACTAGGAGAATCTATGTCTACAGAAAAGTAAATACAAAGTAACTTCAGGAAGAGGAGAGCTCTGAGAACTCATTGGGGATAAGATCAGGAAAGATGGCACCTGAGCTAAACCTAAAGGAACCTAGGAAACTAGGCAAAGGTAAGAAGAAAGTGCCTTCTGGGCATGGAAGAGAGCCTGTGTTAAGTTAGAGATTTGACATGGAGTGTTTGTGGGACAGACTACAGCAAGTGGGCCGGGTAGGCTGAAACAGATTGAGGGGAGAGCAATGTGAAATAAATCTGGAGAGGTAGGGCTGGAGCCGGATTGTGAAGGACTTTAAATGTCAAACAGGAGTTTCTATTTTATTCTACAGAAACTCCCCTGTTGCTTTGACAGAGGAGTGACGAGGGCAGTCCTTTACCTTAAGATTTATTTTGACAACTGTGAGAAGATGGAAACAGGGAGGCCAATTAGGAAGCTATTATAATAGTTCAGGTGATGAGAATCTTAACCAGAGTAGCTGTCATTTGAGCAGAGAAATGAGAACAAATTCAAGAGATGTTAGTATAGCTAGAGTTGGCAAGACTTGGCAGCTGCTTAGATATGAGAAGTGAGAGAATGAAGAGTCACGGCTGCAAACATGAATCACTGGAAGGATAGCGGTACCCTCAGCCTGAACAGGGAAGTTAGGAGGAGGCACAAGTTTAGGGGGGAAAGAGGATGAGTTTCATTTTAGACATGTTGATTTTGAGATGCAACCCCAGTTTTGAGATGGAATCCCCAGATTCCTTCACGGTTTAGTTTAAGTGCAACCTCTTCCCTAGGACCTTTGTTCTTACCTCAAGTTGTTAGTGCTGACCACTACCTAAAGCTACTTTGTGTTTATTTTGTCCATATTTTATATTTCCTTGTCAGTGTATGTACTGTATCCTGCCAATATAATATAAACTTCTAGAAGTCGGGGACTGATTTTGTATTTATATCCTTAGAGCCTAGCATATTGTCTTACATATCGTGGGTGCTTAATAAATGCCTGCTGAATTGAATTGAATAGCTAATGTCAAAGGTCCCTTCTCTGATTATCTGTGATCTATTCTATGTTAAGATTCTTTAGGGCAGCTAGGTGGCATAGTGGATAGAGCACCGGTCCTGGAGTCAGGAGGACGTGAGTTCAAATCCAGCCTCAGACCAAACACTTGACACTTAGCAGCTGTGTGACCCTGGGCAAGTCACTTAACCCCAATTGCCAAAAATTTTAAAAAAAATTTAAAAAGAAGATTCTTTAAAAAAATATATGTTGTTTATGTGTGTGAGGCAATTGGGGTTAAGTGATTTGCCTAGAGTCACACAGCTAGTGAGTGTTATGTGTCTGAGGTCAAATCTGAACTCAGGTCCTGACTCCAGGGCTGGTGCTCTAACCACTGCACCACCTAGCTGCCCCTAAAAATTTTTTCTAATTCTGATTTAATGAACGCCAAAAAATATTTCCATGTACAGTACAAAATAGAACAGACAGAGAGGATTATATTTGAAAATATTTATCTCTATTATATATAGCTTGCTTTTTTGAAATGTATATAATAAATTCAATATATTTCAAAGCTGTCCTGCTTATCTGTGTTTTCCTTCTAAATTTCCTCTATAAGTGTGTATAGAAGGCTTATATCATTATAAGAGTATACTATTACTACTAATCAACATTCCCATTACCATAATCTACTCTCTCCCAAGAGATATTTGCATTTTTTGTTTGTTTCTTTCAGACTGGGAGACTGTACCTAAGTCCAAAGAATCACCTCCAAATCCTGACGTTTTTGAAGATAACTCAACTGCACCCAAAGAAGCAATAATGGAAACACTACCAAGAATTGGATCAAAGGACCCCACATTTCAAGAGACCTGGGAATGTGATGGCAGACTAGAGAGGCAACAGGAAAACCAAGAGAGAGATTTGAGGAAAGTAAAAATCATTCACAAGAAACCTTCCCCTAGAGAGAGAGGTCATGAAGGTAGTGAACTTGGGAGGAAGTTTGGCCTGAGGTCAGTCCTTGTTACACAACAGAGAATTCCTATAGGAAAAAGCCTCCTTAAATGTAATACACATAGAAAGAATTCAGACCTATTTAAACATCATAAGATACATGCTGGAGAAAAACCCTATACTTGTAATGATTGTGGGAAAGGCTTCAGTTACTGCTCATCCCTTTCTCAGCATCAGAAAAGTCATACTGGTGAGAAACCATATGAATGTAATGAATGTGGGAAAGCTTTCAGCCAGAGCTCATCCCTTGTTCAGCATCAGAGAATTCATACTGGAGAGAAACCCTATAAATGTAACGAATGTGGAAAAGCTTTCAGTCAGAATGCAAACCTCACAAAACATCAGAGAACTCATACTGGAGAGAAACCCTATAAATGTAATGAATGTGAGAGAGCCTTTGGTGACTGCTCAGCCCTTATTCAACATCAGAGAATTCATACTGGAGAGAAACCTTATGAATGTAATGAATGTGGAAAAGCCTTCCGCCACAGTGCAAATCTCACAAACCATCAAAGAACTCATACTGGAGAAAAACCCTATAAATGTTCAGTGTGGAAAATCCTTTGGTTATTGTGCAGCCTTTATTCAGCATCAGAGAATTCATACTGGAGAGAAACCCTATAAATGTAATGAATGTGGGAAAGCCTTCAGTCAGAGTGCAAATCTCACAAACCATCAGAGAATTCATACTGGAGAGAAACCTTACAAGTGTAATGAATGTGGGAAAGACTTCAGCCAGAGTACAAATCTCATAATCCATCAGAAAATTCATACTGGAGAGAAACCATATGAATGTAATGAATGTGGGAAAGCCTTCAGTGATAGCTCAGCCCTTATTAGACATCATGTCATTCATACTGGAGAGAAACCCTATGAATGTAATGAATGTGGGAAAGCTTTCAATCAGAGCTCATCACTTACTCAGCATCAGAGAACTCATACTGGAGAGAAACCTTATAAATGTAAGGAATGTGGAAAAGCTTTCAGGTGTAGTTCAGCCTTCATCAGACATCAAAGACTCCATACTGGAGAGTAAACACAGGACTCAAATGAAAGGAAATTTCTTAGTCACGTATTTTTTCTTTTTTCTTTTTCTTTTTTTTTTTAAACAGTGGTCAGTTGTTAGGGAGAAGAGACTCCATAAGGGATTGCAAGCTACTTGAGGTCAGGCTGCTGTTGCAGATGTTTTCCTTTTATAACACCTAGGCAAGGGCCACATACAGAGGCCTTTAATAAATGCTCATTGATTTAATAAGTGCTTTTTGATTCACTGACATGATTAATGTAAATCTTCCAAATTTAAGAGCTTGCCTTATTTTTCTTAGAAAATTCTAATTGACTTGACAGTTAGTAATGTAGGAAGTGGGAATAGAATTTCGTTTTGTTCTTAGAAGATTATTTCCTTTAGGCAGAGCAGCTCAAAATGCAGACCTCGTCCTGGGAATCCGAGAATTGAGGCAGCTTCCATTTAGGTCTGTCTCAGAATGACAGGGACAAACATTTTTTTTTTACCCCTGATGCAAATGTATTTAATTGTTGAGAGCAGTTAAGTGGGAGAGAGATCTTAGGGCTTCTTATTAAATGTCAGCATCACATACAAGCTTCTTGATTATTTATTATATTGATTATTCTTGAGTATTCCTTTCATAATGGAAGAGTCCAGACAGGCGTGAATAGAAGGTCATACAAAGGCCAGATCTCAGAACCAGGTTTAGCCACAACCTCATTGGAATGGGTTGGGTGTTTTTTTTCATATGTTTGTTTGGAGGTTTTTTGGGTACTCATTATTGATTCCCTTTAGCTATTTGGGGGCCTTTATTTATTTTACCTGTATTTAAAAACTAAACTTGCCCAAAACTGAGTTTAATCCAACAATTACATTCAGCATATAATTCACTCCACCATGTGGGCTTAACACATGTGAGCTGGGTAAACATTTTTGATTTTGCCATGCTGTCTCATGCAAAATGGTAATCACTTAACACTTTTTTTTGCATCTGATATCAGAACTAATGGTACTAAATAGTCTTCATTTTTCTGCGTTCTCAAAGTACTGTTTAGACCTTTGGCTTTGCTGAAGAGGAAAGGGGGGAGAGAGGGTCCAAGCCTTAGTCTCCTAAGCCAATCAGACATCAAATGCAGTTTCAGTGTCTTAAGGAAAAATTATATTGACTGGCATGAGAGGTGAAAGGTGGGAATAGGGGAAGGGCCTTTTGGATATTGTCCCTGCAACACCTACTCTTGGGAACAATTAACATGGAAACAAGACTATAAGTTCAGTAAATATCATATGAGCTAATATGCATTTCTTTATGAGCTTCTCATACATGATGATATCTATCCCCAAAACTACTTAGTGGTGCTTGAGTTGGCTGAACTGAGAGGAGACACAGAATGGGTGACTTCCTGAATTTGTGTTTTGGTGGAGTTGGTCTTGATTAGGCACACCCATAGAGAGCTTCATTGTGCTCAGTCATTTCATTGTTTCATTAGCCCAGGCTTATGACCAGCCCCCAAAAGAAAGAGTAACCTTATGCTACTCCCTTACAGGGCATCTCTGGGAATTTTAATACCTTCCCCCATTTTCATGATTTTCCCAGAAGGATAATCTTTCATTCCAAAGCTCTGTCCTGGCTCTTCTCTGTTTAACATACTTATCAGTGACTTGAATGAAAATACAGATTCATTCAATAAGCATTTATTAAGTGCCAATATATGCTAGGAACCATCATAAATACTGAGGATAGAAAAAGAAAATTGCAACTGCTCTCTTTGAGGTTACATGCTATTATGTTCAATTGATGGTCTATATGGAAACTCCTTAGGGGAAGGGACTCACTCATACAGGGTGTCCTAGAAGTCTTAGTGCAGTTTAAAGTGTTAAAGCTTAAACTGCACTAAGACTTAGGACGCCCTGTACAGTATTTATATACTGAGCATAGTGCCCAGTACATACAATGTGTTTTAAAAATGCTTGTTAATTTAGAACTCGGTCACATTCATTCCACATTGAGGCATCAGAGTAGGACTTTAAAAAAATGGGTGAAATTCACATTTAGGTTATGTCAGTAATAATAATAGCTGACGTTTCTGTAGCACTTTTTAAGATTTGCACAGTTCTTTATAAATATACAGTATTTCATTAGAAGCATGGTGTCCAGGTCTAGGGTGCATCATTTGATTTCCGTACATCTTCACTCATCCTCACTGTGACTTCACTCTTTCCTAGCCATCTCTTCCCAGTGCTGTGTTATTTCCCTCTACTAGAATGTAAATTCCTTGAGGGCAGGGGTTGTCTCTTGTACTTGCAATTCCAGCACTGCACTGTGCCTGGTACGTAGTGCTTAATAAATACTTTTTCATTTATTCCAGTGTACTCTGCCCTTAGGCCTCATCTAGAGTATTGTATTCCAAGCTAGGGCCCAGTTTTAGGCAAGACATTGACAAATTGGAGTGCTTCTGGAAGAGGGTGACCAGGATGGTGAAAAGACTGGAGATTATGCATAAGAGGATTGGCTGAAGTAACTGGGGTCTTCAAATAATATTTTATTTTGAAACTGGGGTCTTTAGCCTAAAGCCAAAGATTTTAAAGGCTATCTTGAAGTATGTGAAAGGCTGTGACCCTGAAGAGATGCTGAACTTGCTTTCAGTGTCCCCAGAAGACAGGGATAGGTACAATAGATAGAATTTTCAACTTGACAATTTTGTCTTGATATGAATTCCTAGTCTTTAGAGCTGTCCCAAAGAGGAAGGGCCTGTGTAACGAAATAGTATGGAAATCTTCAAGTATTTATTGACTGACCATGTCATATGAGAAAGTATTGCTACACCAGTTCTTGGTGATCTTTGAGGTCCCTTCAGGCCCTGCATTCCTCAACTCTATCTCAAGGATTTCTGGATTATAATTGCTAGAGCCAGAAAGGATTTTACAACTCATTTAATCCAACCCTCTCATCTAACACATGTGGAAACTCAGGCGCAGATTGTGGAGTTGCACAAAGGTCATACAGAGAGTAAATAGCTGAGGCCAAGATTTTGAAACAGTTTTTTTTTTGCTCCAAAGATTGCTTTTTGAGCTATATTACCTCTACAGTTTTGACTTTTTAAAGTTCCATTAAAATAGGCATTATGCTCCTGAATCACCTTAGATAAATCAGTATTTATAGGGAGAGATTCTGTCCCATTTCATTTTGTTTCTCCATGTAGGGTACCTGATTTCCTCCTCATAATGTTGCTGCTGAACAGGGTAGGGACTTCATTACACTTAAGTGAATTTCAGTAACTCGGCACTCTGCCAAGGTGGCATGGATCTTCAGTCTACTTTTATTCAGTCCAGTTACATAAAGTTGGTCCTAGAACAGAGCTCAGCCTATGATATATGCACCAAAATTGACCCAGAAGAGAATTTTCATTGTTGCCATCAGAGTAAAGGCAAAATTACAAAAGAGGTGAAATTTGTGTCTGTCCCTGTCCCACCTCACTTTTTTAGCATCTGATGTGGCAAACAGTTGAGAAGTAAGTGATTTTCAGCGTTCTAGTTAGCAGTTTTGTACTGGCTGATTTCATGGCTATTGTTTGCGCAAAGGCACGCCAAAGCACTAGGACCTGGCTTACTGGCATCCCCTACATTTTTTCATTGTTATTGCCACTTCTCTGAACTGGATTCCCTGTTGTCCAGAGTAGGATTTGAGAGAGGAGGTGGTCATTTTTTCCCTTTCTCCTTTACCCTGTTTCTAGAAATAGCACCCAAACCTTCTGTAAATTTTATTTATTTTGATGACCTAAACATATGAGCTTTTATTTTTATTTACATGGATTAATTAGCACTTACTCATTCTTGAATGTTGTAACTGCTGACTCAGATCAATTTTTTTGAAACATTTTTCAAGGAGAAAGCTATTCAGAAAGCAAATTTCATATTCTTGTTTGGATTCGGCCCTCATTTTCAATTTGATGATTTTTTAAAATTCTTTCTTTTTAGTTTTCAGCATTCACTTCCATAAGATTTTGAGTTCCAAATTTTCTCCCCTTCTCTCCCCTCCTCCCATCCCAAGATGGTGTGCAATCTGATATAGGCTCTACATCTACATTCATATTGAACCTATTTTCACATTAGGCATGTACTACTGTAATACATTTTTTCAAAAAGATTTCTTGTTACTAATGGATGGAGGACACACAATAATAAAAGGGAGGTTTGCAGGAGTCTTAGAAACATACCATGCTATCTCTAGGGACCTAGGTAATCTTTATTTTTCCTTTCTAGTAAGGCATTCTTCTAGGTCTTTTATTCATTTTCTGTTTCACTTCCTGTTCTCTCTAAATGGACTGAGAAAAACTGACTTTAGTCTCTGCCACTTAGTAGCTGTGTAATGTTGGGCACCTCTGGCCTTCAGTTTCTTTTGAAAGTTACGAAGTTGCATTAGATAATTTTTTGTTTTGTTTTGTTGTGAGGCAATTGGAGTTAAGTGAGTTGCCTAGAGTCATGAAACTAGTGAGTGTTATGTGTCTGAGGCTAGATTTGAATTCGGGTCCTCCTGAATCCAAAGCTGGGTGTTCTGTCCACTGCACCACCTACCTGCCCCCATTGGATAATTTTTGAAGTTACTTCTAGCTCTAAATCTTGTGATCCTTAATTTTGTTTGGCAAAACTGTTGTTTAGGTTTCAGTCTCCTAAAATCTGTTCCTACCTCAGGTCTGTGTATGGGAACTTAGTGCCTAGGATTGGCACTTCTCTCATAAATTTCCTATGTGAAACTCTTAAGTCTCTCTCTGTGGGTTCATGACTTCCTCACCCTAGACTATCACTGTCTAGGAACTTGGAGACATTTCTCTTTATTCCGTCTTGGGTCCCACAGATAAAACTGACTTCCCTCTTACTGGGACTGGAGAGGATGGGAAGTTGGAGGGGTGGTGTTGAAATCCTTACTACATCTCTTGATCCCCAGAATAAAGGCTATTCAGGATGTAGTATGGTGGAATGGATATTCCCTGAAAGGCCCTCATTTATTAATAGGCACTTTGTTCTTTTCCACTAGCTACGTCTTTCCCTACCAGCCACAGGGTACATAGGCCTTTCTTAAGTTGAAGTTTTGGTCCCACTTTTTACTGATGTGTACATTGGTCCTGGACTATTCCTCCTCTTCCATTCCGGGGATGGGGATAAAATAACATACCTAAATACCTCTCAGTAATCTATGGGCTCACAGACCTAATGGTTATGAGGAACAAAGCATAAAAGCACAAAACAGCTAAATGGTCCCCTTCTTTCAAGGGAAATAACAGTCTGGAATTAGAGCCATCTACAACTCATCGAATATTTGTAGTCCAGGGGGGTGATAAGTTTAAGACACTTTCCCTCATCATGAATAATAGCTAGTAAACTTCTTCAACAAAGTAAGCAGTAAATAGAATAGACAGTCGAATTATTGAGTAGTTTTCCAGTCATGTCTGACTCTTCTTGACCCCATTTGGGTGGGTTTTTTTTGTTTGTTTTTTTGGCAAGGGTACTAGGATGGTGTGCCATTTCCTTCTGCCCATTTTGCAGATGAGGAAACTGAGGCAAACAGGCTAAGTGACTTGCCCAGAGTCACACAGCTACTAAGTATCTGAGGCCAGATTTGAATTCAGGAAGATGAATCTTCTGACTCCAGGCTGGGTACTCTATCCACTGCCCCACTTACTTGCCTGTTTGGCTGGGATTAAGATTAGATCTCCACCCCCCACCCCCACCCCCAAGGTAAGAGAATTATCTCACCAAGGGAGTCCACTTAGGAATTCTCTAGGGCTGCAGGCACTGAGAATTTAAGAACATAGTTGCAGGCTAGTTTACCCCCTAGCTGATGGCTCAGGGGAGATCGGTCTGCATTTCAAAAGTCTGTGCTTGCCTCTCCTTCCTGCCTGTCAAATGCTTCCCTAAAATAATTTGCTCCCTGTGCAGACTTTTTGGTTTCAGCCATTCAGTCATCATACCACCTTTCTCCGGACTCTGTTACTAGGTTGTCACTCAGGAAAACAAAAAAAAGAAAAAGAAGATTGGAGTCTGCAAAGTATAGGCCAGTGAGTTATGCATCAATTCCTAGCACAATTTTAGGAGCTGTTATTAAAGGGATAGTGAGATCTTAAAAAGGAAGTTGTGATCAAAGAAAG